AGTAGCAGTAGCAGTCGTCGTCGTCGTCGTCGTCGTCGTCTTCGTCGTCGTCGTCGTCGTCGTCGTCGTCGTCGTCGTCTTCGTTGTCTTCGTCGTCGTCGTCGTCGTCGTCGTCGTCGTCTTCGTTGTCTTCGTTGTCGTCGTTGTAGTCGTACTTGTGGGAGTGGGAATTGTAATTGTAGTTGTAGCAGTAGTCATAGTCGTAACATTACGGCGCACAAACAGGCTCTAGAACTTTAAAACTTGAAGCTCTAATTCGTGAAACCATGAAACGTTTGGAATCTTCAGTTCGAATCACTTGGATTTCAAAGATGTGTTGGGGAGTTGGCCTGCAGCAAAATCAGCCCAAACTTCGCCACACCCTTGAATAACCCAGGCTTAAAACCGAAAACTGAAACTCCAAACCCTCAACCCAGAGCCGTGGCGCCTGAACATGATTCCCGGCAGAATGGCGACCCAATACCAGGGTCTCGCGTGCATTTTGTCTTTACCGGCAATTGCTCGCTACGACGACTCGTGCTGCTGCAGCTGCTGCTACTACAGCTGCCACTACTAAGATATCGCTACGACCACGGCCGCTACTCAAAATGGTAGATGTGCTCGTCCTTTTCCTCGTTTTCGTCATTCTCGTCGTCATCATAGTTGTTGTAGCTATTCCAGACTTCAAGGCTTCTAGGCCTCCCGCAAACGCTGCCCATGGTAGCCAGTATACACAAGGTATGATGAAGCAATCTTGAGCCATCTTCTGTGAAACGGCTGAAATTAGAGATGGTTTCCCAACATACCCAAGTTGCCACAATTATGCTGCGTTTTAACTATAATGTCTCAGGGGCCCAGGACTGCCAAAGGCTTCCCATGGAACCCACAATGAAGTACATGCGGTTGGCGCAGACCCTGCTTCGCATGACTTCAAGTTCAGGTGCATTGCAGCCGGATTTGCAGGTGTATCAAACATGTGTTGCAGATCTGTATTTCACTTGGCGTGCAATAGGTAGAATAACTCTAGCAACAATGGCCGCATCTCTTGGATTTGCCAGGTAGCAGAGGCCGATGGCGAGGAGGCCCCTCACAAGTGCTTTATTAACATGTTGTGTGGGAATCCTCCATCCACGGGATATGGTCGTGTTGTCACGGCCGCAGTATTGGTTGTACGTGTTGTTCGTGTGGTTATACGGTTAGTTATACGGTGTACTGGTGTACTGGTAGATGTTGTACACACACATGTCTGGATAACACATTTAATTCGTGCGACATTTTGTTCCAGTTCAAATCATACACCCTCAAATGCATTAGCTACAAATACTCCAGTAAATCAAAGCTGTCAAGGCGGTGATGGGCCAACTTCTTAACCATGAAAACCACTAATAAATCCTCGAATTCGGACGCCTACATCCAAACTCTGACCAGGGAAGATTGAGAAACGTGAATGCGGAGAACCTCGCAGAGCTTGCCCACCAAATGGGAAGGATTCCTGTCCCAGCTGGTTTGGTCCACAGCGAGCTTTTCATAGATTCGGGGCTTCAAGAGGTCCATAAAAGGCGTGGTTGTTGTGCAAACGTTGTATGGAGTGTCCCAGGATGACACCGAAGATGAGAGGGTGTCCGCTGAAAGCATGAGCTGATTGAGAGGGATCTGCACATGATCCATAGTCTAAACTCCTAGTATCCCCCTTAAGAACGCCTACAGTACTCCGCTACATACTCCCCTATATAACCCTCTTTAAGGTGTTTAGACTAAGTACACGTGATCCCAGTATCTCTGAGGTTGTACAGCGCCAAATTTTCTGCGACGCATCCGTCATGATTTTTTTCTTGCTCGCTTCAGGTCAGCAAATCTTCGTTTCGAAAATTATGCAGGCACGGCCTTGCGGGACATGTCAGATCCTCGAAGCCCTGAACCCTACCCTCTATCCTAAGATATCCTAAGCCCTGGACCCCAAAGCTTCAAAAGCTTCATCGGCGCTTCCACCCTGCTGGCAGATTGTTGCGGACAAGGCCAAGTACAGGACGGAAGAGTCCCGGGCTTACCTCTTTGAATCGGGGGTTCAAGGTTCCCATATACGGAAAAAAATTCTCCTATGCCCTCCAACCAATGTAGCCCTACTGACCCAAAGATTGAAGTTTCCCACATTGCCAACTTGGCGGAAGAGCAAGGTTGCGCGTAAAAAAGGGCGCCATTGCAAGTTGTAAGAAATAGCGTGGGTCAGCGTAAGCAATAATGTGGGAATGTCAGGGTAGTGCATACTGTAGCCTTTTTTGGTGTGGAAATCCTCAGAGTATGCGTTTCATTATTACACTTATATACATGTATTTGTGTCGATGCATGGTAACATCATGTACATTATTCTGGAACAAGAACGTTATTAATAATCGAAATAACAGAAATCATAGTTAATAGTAATAATAGTAATAATAGTAATAATAGTAATAATAGTAATAATAGTAATATTAATAATGCTATAGTAATACTAGTAATAATAGTAATAATAGTAATACTAGTAATAATAGTAATAATAGTAATAATAGTAATAATAGTAATAGTAATAATAGCAATAATAGTAATAATAGTAATAATAGTAATAATAGTAATAATAGTAATCATAGTAAATAGTAATAATAGTAATAATAG